TTTATTTCATCTTAAACCTCAAAATTCTATTCTCCGTATAGAAATCAATAATCATACCAAATTTTCCATATTATCCAAACTTAATAATAACACTTCTAACTTCTTATTCTCATAGATGACAAGTCAAATTCATCCTCCAAATTCATTTAAACCTTCCTATTCAAAATTTTACTTTAAAACCCATTTTCTTTAATCTGTCATAAACTTAAGCTTTCCTTAAGCTTAGTTATCATCTAATGATCAAAACCCAACCTTTAATTCAACAAATAATCAACAAAATAGAAAACTTACCTTTGAGCTTGGAGATACGGGAGGAAGAAGAAGATGAAGAAGGGAGAAGAGTTTGTAGATAACTCCTCTTCACCCCACGTGAATCATTCATATAAAAGGGGAAAAATATCTTTCTTGTCAAATGACCATTTTTCCATTTAATTTCTTTGATAATTACTAATAACTTTCTGAAAATATTCCCAAATAAATCATTGAACTATTTAACTATTCTACTTTAATCACCAAATTCCAAAATTTTACAATTTAGTCACTAACCCATAATTTGGGATGTTACATTGTGTATGTGCATGAAATTTACTTATGAAGAACATTTCACTCGCGCCAATGGAATTCGTAAGGGTCAATGGAATAGAGAAGTTAAAGAACGTGATGAGCAGATTTATCTCACCAAGGCAAGGTTTATCTGGAAAGTCTGAAGCGAATATGACGAAATCGCCTATGTCACATGCCAACTGTACGACTTCCTTCATGTGCAAGCAAACCCTCAAAATTCTGACAACCACCAGTCGTCTTTTCTTTTTAGTCTGGATAAGACAATAACAAGTATTTAGGGAATTTTCACTTATGAGAAACCCTAGGAGATTCCTCTCTATAAATACCCAGCCATAGCTGCCAAAGAAAAGATAGGAAGTCAGAAGAGCTTTACTTGAAGTGTGACTGAGCAAATGCGGTGCTTTCTTACCATTTACCAACCGACCTTTCTTGGTGTCCTCCATAGCTAGACTGTAGCAGAGCGACGATCAGGTCTCGATAGAGGCTGATCGCCAAGGTAAACGCGGTGTTGATCAGAAGTGTCACGATAGAGCCCCCAGTTTTGGGAGTCGTTTTTCCTATGTTCTTAAATTTCTTTACGTATTTGGGGATGTATTAAAACGATGATACTTGGATGACTTTTTGATAACACCATGATTGTCTTACTTGGTGTTAATCTTTGTTTTGCCTAAACAATTATTTTCTACTTTATGAATGATGAATTATGATTCTGCTCATGACTGTTTTGTTCATTGTTTGAATAGTTTACCTTGACACTGTAAGAGCTTCGAGAGATTGCCTGGGGTCTTGGTGAAACATGTCTTGGCAATGTAAGAGCGTCGAGAGATTTCCTTTTGTCTAGATATTGATTCTTAGATTCGAGAGAATTACGATAGATCTACGTGAACAATAGAATGGATCTGGGATGGTGGTGTTCTAACTTGTCTACCTTAAAGATAAGGAGTGGGTTTCAATCAATTAAAAAGGATGGACGCATAAGTAGGATAGAGAACGACTATAGTTTACGCTGAGAGGTATTGCTACAACAACAGTCTGACAAATAAAGGGTTGTAGTTAACGCTGAGGAGTATTGCCATAGCAACCGTCTAAGAACACTTAGTAATCTTGTCAGGTAGTTTAAACATGCCATAACAATTCATTCTGGACTTAGAATAATTGCTTGTCAATACAAAAGATTAGCATAACTGCTCTGTGATAAGTCTGAATACGCGAGGTTGTTTGAATTATATTTAAATCAAAGTTTGTCTTTGTTTTATTTTATTTCGATAGTTTACATATTTATTTTGTCTCGACCAAACTTTTCTGTAATCAAACTTTATAGCATTTTCTTGTTTTATTAAATATAGTTTTCTAGTTTGACAAGATAGTAGGAACTAGCTTGTGACAACTAGTTCTGGTTGTGGTGAAGCTTAAAAACTTTCGACCAATCCCTAAGGAGACGATACTTCACTTACCCTATATTACTTGATTTGATTGTGTATACTTGCACATAATTGCTTGCCTTAGCACATACATTTATATGTGATCAACAAACCCGACAAGGAGAAACAATGACCTGCAAAGAATTACACACTTCCAGCCCCTAAAGATCAAATGAGAATTTGTAAAGAGGGTAGGGAAAGTTAAAAAAAGAAAAAACTGAGAAAGAGGCAAAAGCAAAAGAGGTCACTAGTAACAAAAGCCAAAAGAATAATGACCCATAGGAGGTGAGTGAACCTAATTGTAAGAAAAAAAGAGTGACTCAAAATCTATGTGTGAGCATAAAAGAATTGAGAGAGAACCTTCTTTACAAACAACCTTACATCCTTGTTCGCTTTAGGGAATCAATTATTTCGATTTCTAACATTAACAAGGATTTGTCTAGTGTGTTTTCATCTCTTTTACATGATTTTCGAGAAGTGTTAGGTGATCCACCTGACGGATTACCACTGGAAAGAGGAAAATAACACTAAACCAATCTAATTCAAGGTTCCATCATACCTTGCCAAATATACAATCTTGAAGAAACCAAAGAGTTAGATTTGTTACAAAAAGGATACATCCAGGAAAGCCTTAGTCATGACGCCATCTTAATGACAAAACATGAAAGCAACACGGGACTGGCCCATACCATCTTCCATCACCAAGAGTTGTCAAATGGTGCTAGGTGACCCTCTTAACGGGTTACCACCTGAAAGCCCTAATCACTATACCATACCAATGAAGAGTCATGATTTATGAGAGTTCAAAACTCAATATTTTATTACTCATTTTAATGATATTACAACGTTCTTCTTCTCCTTTTTACAAGGTCAAACTCTTGAAGTTGTCATCCATACTAAACACAACTCCTTTAAGTGTGTAAAAGACCGAGGTAAGTAAAACACAGTAAATGGTGCACTACAATGAAGGTTCTTCAGTCCACATATCTCCTCCCAATAATTCTTAATTCATAAACCATATTTAGGAGACTTAAGGGGTTACTTTAATAAACCAGGTTACATGGTTTTTCAACACTCATTCTCGCCACACGCGAGTCAAACCATGGAGAGAATATCTGAAACAATCATAAAGAAAGCCAACAGTAGCAGGTGCCATATTGAATTTCAACCTAAACATCATATTACAAAACTTGTATGCAAAAGAGGATTTCAAGACTACAAGAAATCAGTCCCTACAAAGAAGAAACCTCGACTAAAACACATAAAGACACATCACATTGATCTTGGTAAATGTTTCACAAGTTTTCCTTTCAACACATCTAATTCTCTTTCTCTTGGATTTTCGGATTTGACGAATCCTTTCGAGGAGTAGGGGAGTGATACATGCACCAGATTCTATAATGCATGCTTCTTTGGACTAATGTTTCTACTTGAACATATTAGAAGAAAAAAGTCTCAAAGATTCAAAGCATATCTATTCGATAATCATAATGTGAATGAATCATTAAACGATTCTAATGTTGCTCCCTTTAATGTTTCAGATTTGAGGTTAAACTTTTTGAAGAAATTGAAGATAATACATGCATCACAAGGCTCACATCAAATGAAGAAGTAATAACTCTTCCAAATGATCCACTCGTTCAAGCCTTGGAAAAGAATACCAGAACAGCATCATACTTGCGACAACTTTTTTAATGGGATCCTGATCTTATTTGATCAATATGTCTTCTGGAGATACGATCAGATGTCTCTTATATTTGCAACAGTTATTGAATTACATCAATCCAATATCGGGAACTCAAGATATGGTCATTTTAGTGTAGATAGTGCATGCAGAAAATCCTATACGAGATTAATACGGGATTTTGTAAATATTACGAATTTTCAATATTTTTATTGATTATTTGTAATATAATTTAATATAGGATGATGTATTATCTTTTAAGATTAGATTTATTATTTTATTAAGAATTAAGGTTGAGTTAAAATATTATTTTTAGTTTATTATTATTTTATTAGGAATTAGAGTTAAGAGATGTTTATTTTGTTATTATTTATTCATTAGTTATTTAGTATCTTTAGAACTCATTCCTTATATAAAGGAGACTTCATTCAACTTTGTAAGACATATTTCTTTGATTAATAATACAACGAAAGTTTGTTTTGCGAGTGATGATTGTCTTGTGCCTTTGAAGCTTCTTCTCCTGGAGTTCTTTCAAGTTCTTGTGAGGGAGATTAATCTTCACTCCAATTTGCATTTTCATCGCGACTAGGAGTGTTGGTTACAGTTATATTATCGAGTTTTCATTTTTATTACGACTAGGAGGGTTCAATATGACACTTATCCATCTATTCTGCACAAATCCATCCTCATCATCATCATCTTTACTGTTCACCTTCATAAGGGATATCTTTTGATTTCTTGGTTATCATATTTTATTCTCAATTTCTTTATATTTTGTTTATCTTGTTCTAATCTTGTTTCTTACCTTGTTTCTTACCTTGTTTCTAGCACTTAAAAGAAACTCTAAAATACCCTAGCTGTTGCCGCCATCTTCCCCTATTCATCCCCTTTGTTCTTCATCGAGTCTAGAGCTTTCTATGTTTGATTCTTCAACAAGAGCAACGTTTATTAACCCGCTACCACTTCCCTATCAGTAGGGATGGTGACAGCAGAAGAAGCAACTGTCCCCAACATGTCATTGAAATTTTCAAGAATCTTGTTTGCGTAAAATTAAGTTTGATTATCGATTTGGTTGAGATAAATTATCATGAGTCATTGGGTTGAAAATGGATAATCGAAAATGGAACTCGAAGATTTTTCTGCCAGAACCTTATCGATATCATCACTATTATAGAATCGAACACATGCGCAGGTGGAAGAAACTGAAGATCCATTCCAGGAAAGAGAAACCATACAAGAAGCACACCGGACCCTTGTGAAAATATAGGGATCCAACTAGCTAGGCTTGTCAAAATGAGTACCATCAATATTACATAAAATCATGACCAAACTCAGGAATGCACACCATTGCAATAACTGTATATATCATCTCTTATTATATTTGCAGCTTTTGTAGCATATCCATTTTGGTATACTTTCTTCTTCCCATTCTCACACTTCACCTTCAACACGCCCTCTAATTCCCCACAAGTTGCAGCTATTAAGCCTAAGAACAAGGCAGAAGGTTTTCCCGGTCTCGATTTAAATTCGGGATGGAATTGAACACCAATGTAGTATGGATGATCAGTTAGTTCTACAATCTGCATCATCAAATGTGTCAAATGGTACCAATAAGTAAATAAAAAGTGGCAAGAGCAAAGAATCGGCACCTCCATGCGCTGACCGGTTTCGTCCTTTCCGGTGAAAGACAGGCCGGCATTTTCGAGTCGTGCTACCATATCGGGGTTTACCTGCATAATATAGACTTTAAGGTTGTGTACTTGCTTGCACATCAGACATGATCATCTCAATGTTGTCACTTACCTCGTATCTATGCCTATGTCTCTCATCTATGAATCTTCTATTCCCATATCTACAGGAATGCAAAATAAGAGGATTAGCTAATTAATTGCACATTCATAGCTAATTTACCTGTTTTCTTGATAGTGTATAGATATATGAATGTGCAAAACAAGTCCACAGTGCTAACAATTTCACAGATTTGCTGTCCGGGGCATGGAAATAGGTCCTTCTTGATCCAAGACGCATTGTACCGCCCATATGCGTTTTCGAGCCCTGGTTGAATGGCACACAGACACGAAGATGTTTTAGAAAACGATAAAAACAACTCGATTCAATGAAATCTGGAAAAACTATCGAACAGAAAACACTAAACCTCGGGCATAAATATAACACAAGGACTGCGGGTGTTAGGATTGAACTCGGTGCTGTTAGCATCCTTCAATCCTAGAGCTGATCGTGCATACTCGATGACAGCAATCTGCATTCCCAGACATATTCCAAGATAAGGAATTCTGTTCTCCCGTGCATACTTTGCTGCAAGAATTTTGCCTTGCACCCCTCTGTCGCCAAACCCTCCAGGAACAAGAACACCATCTGCACTCTGAAGACACAAGCCGCAATCAAACACCGTTTTCAGCAAAGAATTATAATCGAGGCAATAACAAACTTAACGATACCGACCTTTAACAACTTCCATGCAGCCTTATAAGCATCAGGATTCTGTAAACAAAATGTTTTTGTCAACAAGCTAAACAAGTAAAGACCAATGCATAATACAATCAAGGATTTAAAATCAGTTTGACCTCTATTTCGGTTACATCTTCTAGGTCACTGGCAGGAACCCAGTCCACAACAAGTTTCTTGCCACAGGCAACAGAAGCATGCAACAGAGCCTGGACAAACATCAAAACAGTTTTATGATGAAAATTTCACATATTACAAACAACAAAACGAATTTACATTTATAAAATTCATGTTGCACAAACTTGCAGCTTCGGTTTTCGAAAAGAAAAAAAAAACTTTCATAGGTTTCTTAACAGTCAAGAATAACTATTGTTCAGCCAAGAAAGGTAACAGTAGTTAATTGCATACCTTCAGTATAGAGAGATAGGTATCAGAAAGGCCTGTGTACTTCCCCACTATAGCAATTGTGACCTGTATATGATAGCCATACATAGATAAGACTGGAAGTAAAAAGAAATACAGATCGAAGTCGACAATTATTCGCTTCGCACCGGCTCGTGTAAACTATCACAAATTTCAGCCCTAGTTGTCCACTCCTTTAAAGCAGGCTCCTTGGTGACACTGCAAGAAAAAACACAAGCAAATTGCAACATGGACCCGAATTGATGTAAGGTCGATATTCGGTGTTTAAACTGAATATCCGGAGTGAAACGAAGAAAAAGATAAGGAATTGAACATATCATGCACACCTTGGAAGATTAATCACTTTGAAAATTGCGTCGTGAGCCTTCTGATCCTGATCAAGAATCAAAACATATATCCTGTCATTAATTTTCAGAATTAGGCAGCACATACAATATTATACTTCGAAACGAAATCGAGCCACTTACTCTCAGTAGCAAAGGGATGTGCCAGATGTTGGGAACATCATAAAGAGTGATAATATTTTCTGCCTACAACAAGTTTTTTCAATTAACTTCAACTTTTTCAACCACGTGAATGAACATTCCAGATGATACCTAAATAAAACTTTCTTCTCCTAATTACCATACCGAAACTTGACAAAATTGAGAGAGTTTTTCTTTCACATTGTCATCAAGTGCCTGTGACAAGGAATCTATATTCAGAAATACACTACAGAACGTCCATGGTTTTTTTCAAGTGTAAGAAGACGAGAGTGGTAAAGAGGAAATCAAACCGTTGTACTGCGACAAGCTAAGATATTCGGTGTCAATCCCAGGCCTCTCAATCCACGAACACTGTGCTGCGTGGGCTTTGTTTTCTGAACGCGGCAGATAAGATGGAAGAAGTGGCCAATGGATTAATTTGTTTTACAATGTATCCAAGATGTACTAGGAGAATCGAACATCTTACGAAAAGGCAGTGCCTAGAATTTATTAGAAACTTGTTTCTTTTCTATTTTAGCACATATCAAATCACATCATTCCAAGCGTTTCAAAGGCTTACTTGTTCACCAACAACGTTCAGAACAGGTACCAGGCTGACATGAATGAGACAGAAGTTGCCAGCACCTAGAGAAGAAGAAGAAGTATCGACGAAAATAAACGATATAAAAGAACAAGGGCAATGATATTTCTGCGTCATGACTTGCATATAACATATGCCTCACCTACACGGCATGAGAACTGGCCTAACGCCTCTATAAACGGCATGGATTCGACGTCTCCTGCATGCAAAAAAATGTTTCTTTCAACAAAAGTGGATACCATCTTACAGCAAATTGCACGGATCAAGACTGTAGCTGGCATGTGTACCTATTGTTCCACCTAATTCTATGACACAAACATCAGCTGGACCTTCCTTTCCATCGACCGGAATCATCGCCACGCGTTCAATCCATTCTTGAATGGCATCTGTAATGTGAGGAACGACCTATAGATTGCAAGAACAAACAGACGGAAGTAAGCCTGTGTTGGTAAACAACAACATATTGTATTTACTTTTTAGTTCAGCTTCAACCTGAACAGTTTTCCCAAGATAGTCTCCCTTTCTCTCCTTGTCAAGAACGAACTGACACTCAATATTAGTATCGGTTAGAATTAGATAGAAGAAATATAGAAGAGACGTGAAGCTTAAGCAACTTACTCGGTAAATCTTCCCGGCGGTGATGTTATTGTCGCGGGTGAGTTTGACATTTAGAAAGCGCTCATAATTCCCAAGGTCCAGGTCCACCTTTCAACACCAAAACAATTAGTTAACATGGCAGACACTGTTATCTTCTCCATCTCCATCTCCATCTCCATGTATAAAAAAATATATTCTTTGATCTTAAGGTTCGATCACTAAATGAACGCTTTTTTCTGAAAGAAGAAAAGAGATATTTTACCTCACCACCATCGTCCAAGACAAAGACTTCACCGTGCTCAAAGGGAGACATGGTTCCAGCATCGTTATTCAAATAAGGATCTGCCTTGGGAAACGAAAACAATTAACTCCATGATTGATGATACCAAGGAATAAAAATAAAAAGCAAACCTGAGAAGAAAAACTACAAGGACGAAAACACAGAGGGAAGGATAAAATTCTAAATCAAATAATGAATTTCTTTTGCTTTTTTTCAAGGTATTTGATTCTAAAGGAATGGAAAAGATATCCATCCACCTACGTTTTTTCTTTTACCCACCAAACCGAAAGATGAAATGAAACTCAAATAGTTTTTCTTCCCACTCCCCTCTGCAAAAAGGAAATTTTTAACAAAAAAGAAAGAGAGAGCAGAGACCAATCTTGATAGAAGTAACGCGAAGCCCACAAGCCTTGAGAAGTAAGCCGATGCTGCTGGCCGTCACTCCTTTCCCTAGTCCACTCACTACTCCGCCGGTCACCAGCACGTACTTCATTTTCTTCATCCTTCCAAAAAAAAAAGAAGATTTTTCTGAATAAAAATGGTAAACCTTCAGTTACATAGAAGAATGGCTGCCTACCTTAAATCAAACCCAGTTGCAGGGTGTTAATGCTTAAAGCCGGGTTCTTTGGAGATAAATTATATATTTTTGTGAAGCGGAAACACAGAGAGAGATGCTCCCCTGCTAACGGGGAAGAAACAAAGAAGAAAAGAATGAAGTAGAAAGCAAAGGATGAAGGAGAGGGGGATATTGGGTAACACCATTGGCTGCTTTTTATACACTCTTTGCCGGCATCAGTATCCGTGGGGCCCATTAACAACATACAAACAATCACCAAATCAGTTTTTTCTTACATAATCTATAATATATTTTTTAAATTTTAACCCTTTTTTACACTATATATAATATGCTTGGAAATTATAATACTGATCCTAAAAAGTTGTTTTTGAGACATCTAATAAAATCACGCCACTGGTTTTTTTTTTTTAATAATGACATTATCATGTACTATTTTAATATGCATGAACCAAATAATTTTACTATTCTTTAAGATATTAAGTTAAGCACTATGTATGCATGAGTATATGAGCGTTTAATGTCAAATTGTTAAGAATCTCTAAATAGATGCTACATTGTATTCACCCGAGATTAATCAAAATAATTTTTTTATCAATTCCTATTTAGGGGAGGAGAATGAGAATTTTACTTTTAATGGGTATTGAACTTACAACTTAAGGAAGAGGGAAGATGTTAATTGAAAGCTTTTTAACCACTTAATCTAAAGATTATTGACAGTAAAAAAATTGTTAAACATTGATTTTTTTTTGGTGTTAATTAATTAAAGTTATAAGATTGTTATGTATCTTGATTAAGGTTCAGAGTTTATGAATATAAATGTTAGTGTTTAAAGTTTATATTTAAGCTTTGGAAATTAGGATTTAGGGTTTAGAGTAGTCTAATAATGAAAAAATGATTTTCTATCCCATAAACAATATTGAACATTCAAAAATTAATTTTAAATCGTAGTTGAAAAAGTGATTTTTAACCTAACCTCAAAAGCTCACATTCTTAGCGCTTGTTGTGAGAATTTACTTGTAGGGTAAAATAATATTTTTATCCTTAAATGTTATATTTTATATTTACAACATAATGTCTAAAATTAGTATTTTATCTTTTCAAAATCACTTTTTAACATCAATTTCAAATAATTAAATTTTAAATTATACTTTTCAAAAACACTTTTAGAAGTATTTTTTTACAATATTTTTCAAAAGTGATTTGTCATTTTTTTTCAACCATTAATATATGAAATAATAATTAAAATCATTTAAATGTAAATTAAACTTTTAATATCAATAAAATCTTAAAATTAACAAATTTTATAAAAACAAATGGTAACGGTTGATAACTTACCCACGTCTTAAATAACTACCACTTAAAAGTCCAACAACCAGTTAAACTACTATTATTATTTAGGTCACTTGTAATGGATGAAAACTTATTCGATCTTTATTTGATTTCTTTAAATTCAATTGTTATTGTTTTAATCATTATTTATATGCGTGTAAGGGAGAGTAAAATTTTACCCAACCAAAATAAATAAATTTTCTAATTCTATTCAGCGTTAAAAAACTCGACTCAATTTAATTCGACCTATAATTTGACTTGAAGTTTTCCTAAATAAAGTTTGAGTTATAAAATAAGACTTTGAAAATTTTATAAACTCAAAATTTTAGCAAATAGTGAATTAATTTTTAAATTTGAGTCGAGTACCTCGACTTTGTATGATATATATCCTATATGAAAATATACAAAGTAATATATATATATATATATCGTTATGATAATAGAATATCGTTTAAATTAGAATCAATTAGTATCGTATCATTATAAATATTTACAATTAAATTTAAGCAGAAACTCGAACACAGTCCATAAATACTTTGTAGGGTGAGCACACATATATTAACAATATAATTTTTTTCTATAATGGGTGTGCAAAAATAAAATCTCATAGTTTGTATCAACAGTAAAATGAATAACTAACTAACCCAAGAAAATTCAGATTTCAAGGTAAGCACTTGTCCACCCTAAGCCAAATGTGCATTCGCTATTGTTCAAACAACTTGACTCGAACTTTATAAATTTGATTTGATTCAAAAAAAATTAAATAAACTTTAAATTATAAAGTAAGACTCGTCAACTCAACTAACTCAGAAAATTTTAACTCGAATTGATTGAACAACTACCCTTATATATTATGAGTATGATATTTTTTTTTGTTGCCCTCCCGATTCCAAAGTTTCGCCTTGACTAATTGAACTGACCCACATTGCATACCTGATTTTGGTAGGTGAGTCTTTCAGTAGAGATTTTATGCATATACAAAAGGACTCGAACTCAAGACCTTGCTTAAGCGATATCAAGTTGCTTACCAATTGAACCAACTCTGTTGAGTATGATAAATTTTAATATAAAGTAATTGTGAAATGTTAAAAGCGTGTGGTTATATTAATATGTTATTTTAAGAATTATTATTTGACAGATTATGTTAAGATATGGTAAGGGTCTAAAATGAAATAAATATAACATTAAACAATATTTTAAAATTATTTATAAAATTACTTCGTCAAACCTACATGTTTAATTTCATTTGTGACATAAACTCAACAGACAACTTAAAGACAATTCATGCATAAAATAAATGGTAAAATATATAAATGGTGTTCAATTATAGAGTACTATTTTATTGAGTTTTCTTACTATTAAAAGTTATAAAAAAATATTCACACTATAGGATGATGTTCTGTTTTATTCTATGACTTTTAAAAGTTACAAAATAATTAATTGGCTATTCATATATTTCAAACTCGTTATTTTCTGTAAAAATAAAAAAATTGGATGTCTTTTGAGCTGAACGTTAATCTATTAATTGAGATATGATAAAATCTGATCCCATAATTATTTGAGTTATATTTTTTGGATGGACTCTTCACTTATATTATATCATTGAGCTCTTGAAACACTATTTTGTCGAGTCAGTTCTTGAAAGCAACGACGATGCTAGTAGATATCATTAAAATATAATTTTATCATATTAACAAATTAACGTCCAACTCAAATGATCGTCAAATTTTTAATGAAATATGATGAGCTTAAAATATATCGAATATTTTGTAACTTTTAATAATTGGTGGACTCTTCAAAATAATACCCTATATCGAGAGACAATTTTAGAAATTTAATAATCGGATAACTCAACAAAGTAGTATCCTATAAATTTATAATCGAAGGATCATTTGTATACTTCACCTTCAAATAAAACATAAATATTTACGTAGATATTTATGAAAATTTTCAGTCTAAACTTAAAAATAAATATAAAAAAAAAAAACTTCCGCCTCCTATATATTTGTAATGATTTAATTATATCATATGTCCCCAAACTATAATTTTAATTTGAAATTGATCCTTAAAATTTTGAATATTCTAATTCTATGCTTAAACCATGACCCTCTGTCTAAATCGGTCCAAAAACTTTTGAATATTCCAATGTCATCCCCAAATTCATCCAAACATGTAATTAATTTCAACCATAGTTTAACCAAAATTTTGTTTTCTTTAAACATATAATAATATAACTTGGCCTAACGATTTTATTAGCAATTGATGCAATTAGTATATACATATAATTTGGGATGGAATTGGAATGTTAAAAAAGTTTGGGGACCAGTTTAGAATAAATATCATAATTTGTGGATGAAATTAAAATTTTAAAAAGTTTAAGGATTAATTTAGAATGATATTCATAGTTTAAATATAAAATTAAAACAGTTAAAAGTTTAAAGATCAATTTATAATGAAAATCATACTTTAAGGACATATGATGCAATTACTCCTAAATTCTGCGAACAGGGTGGTCCTTTGAGAACACGTGAGAGCGGGCAGACAAACCGAAATCTCCACGTTGCATTGGCGAATTGGAGGAATAGTTTTCTTCATATAATATCTCCGAGATTAGCTCCTATTGAACAGCAGAGTTGTGCCTGCTGTCTTTACGTATTATAACTAACATCTTATCCACTTGTTTCAATCACCAACATGCTGACTGATATGGTTTTTATTTAGATTTTGGATTAACAAAGACTTTTATTTCTTACGTCAGGTAGGCATGTTTTTTGACTAGACCATTCCTTCCACCAACAGTGACTACATAACAAAACTTATCTATCTTTAATTAGTAGGTAAATTACTTTTTTGGTCACTTAATTTTATCTGTGTTTTTTTTTGCTACTTAACTTAAAACTATTTATTTTATTACTTATCTTTTTGAATTATTTTTGTTTTGATCACTCGACCGTTAAATATCTAATGCTATTTAAATTTCTCTGAAAATTTATGCAAAAAACTCATGGAACTTTTCTCACAAACCAAGATTTAGGAACTCCCTTTGACTCATCGGTGTTAGAGTATTTTCTCTCTCAAAATATGAGTGACGGGAAGGGTGAAAACGAGGGGGAAAATAATATATTTTGATTTCACGTTAAATAGACTATGAATATTAGAGCAAAATTAGTTGATGCTTTAACTTGAGTTTTTTCGATTTTCAAAAAAACCAAACTAAACAGAAGAAAAAGATAAGAAAGAATAATATTTTAGTATCAATTATATCGTAAATGATGATCGACGACATATAAATATTGATTAGATAATACTTTGACCATTTGGAATAAAATATTAAAATTTTAAGAAAGATTTCAGAAATAAAAAGGTCCAAAACACATTGTTTTGGTGCTTGTATTAGACACATAGCAGTGAACCGATCAAAATATGAATAATTCAAAATTTCAATTATTAAATTAATAAATTTTTAAAATTTAATAATAAAAATTTCCAGAGGAAAGTTAGAGTGACAAGAAGTAGTTTACCCGTTAATATTGAATTCATAACATAAACTCAAATAACAGTTTTATTATAAATATTAGAGAATATAACATAAAAGT